TTTTTTTTTTTTTTTTATCAATTTCCTTTTGAATGCTTAGCAAGAATTAAAGAGCTTCTAAATTAGCAACTTTCAACGTTTAGGTTCCCTATCATAGCAAACTCAAAAAATTATGCAGAATGTTATGCATAGAATATGTTTAGTACGCAATATTGGACATGACAGCATACAAACAAGATTTTGACTCTTTTTTCTACTTCAATACTGTAGATTGTATATGAAACAGCAAAAAGGCATCAAATTGGGAACACGTAGAAACCCAAGGCATTTGTTCCAGGATCTCGCCTTCTTTCCGTCTTTTCCAATATCTCGAGTTGATAACTTCTATTCCTCAACTGGTCGAGCTACCAAGTTAATGCTCGTATTTGCTTGAAACACGGTTGATTGGCTCTAGAAAATACTGAAGAGATATGAAGATTGCTTCCTGTTTGCTGAAGTACATTAATATTGTGAAATACACTATTTGATGAATTAAGATGAGAAAACTGTACAAAAGTACCTCTGTCCGAATTGTTCTGCTTCCTTGGTGAGGGCATGTGTTCAAATATAAGTCAAACGCCTCTCGCACATTTTTCCCCTGTAAATCAGAATTCAGAGGCATATGAAAAATTTTAGTCTGCCGGAATCTATTTTATTCCATGGAACTCAAAAGATTTGTAAAGGTCGGATCCTGGGGAAATCTGGTATTTTTAAAATGATAAGCCAGCCAAGTTCATTCATTATATGCAGAGATTTCTTGGCAAAGTGAAATGATAATCATGTGTGAGCATAAAAAACAGAGAACAAGTTCATGGATAACGGAATTCAGAGCCATAATAATAAGAGGCTTCCTGAATACAGTACCTTGAAATCATTGTCTTCTTCGATACACTCTTCCAATCCCGCCAGTCCTCCAAAAGCAATTAAAAGATGCCTAAATATTATGATATTTTTAATCAACAAAATCAGGTGATTTTATATTCAGAATCATATATTTACAAGTTGGACTTGTAAATAAGACAAACTTGCGGAGAAAAATGATGCAGCTTTACGTGCAAGAATCAATATGAATCCACCAGGTAATGAAAACATACCTGAATGACGGCAGATTTAGTTCTGACGACTTTATAACTAAACCATGTTCAGAGGTGCCCATCCGATAGTCATACCCTTCCTATCAATGAGTTATAAAAAGTTAATTGGCTAAGTAATGGTGTAGGTGGGAAGAGCAGGGCGGCAGAGCTTTCAAAAAGTGATTAAATGAAACATGGTATGCTTTCAAACAGACTTTTGCGCCAAAAAGAATGAAAAACCTTGTATGGGCAGTTCTTGAATACAGAACTAATGTTCGAAGCATATCGTACTTTATATCCCCAGTACATTCCATCTTCCCTAGGCCTGGAAGATGGAACAATTTTCCGTGGCGCACCTGAAAATTAAAATATGGGTTTGTGAAAGTCATTCATCTCACATGCTTTCATCAAAATAAAACTGGTCAACTGACCTGCATCTAGATTACGATTTGTTCCCATAGCTACCGTTACTCTTCTTCCCGGCTGAATGACTTGATCAATCATAACATTCTGCTCAGTATTTATTGCATTTATTTTGTGAGCAATCCAAATTAAATCAGCCAAAAGTTTAAGCTGTTACAAATTAACGTAGCTTATTCCTAAACTATATCTTTGTATGTGCCACCTGAATCTTGATATTTGAACTTATTCATTCAAAAGAATGTGCACTAAAATTATGACTAGGTAGTGTTAAGATTTAAATCAGATCCTTTGCCTGCTTTATTACCAATTAAAACTGATCATCCTGCCTAAAAAGCTTAAGCTATCAGGGATGTATTCATTTCCTTCAACTTGTACAACATTATATCTAATAGAGATGCAGATCATTTTTATTTCATTCCCTTGTAGTCTCATTGTTAAGTGATAAAGACTATCAAAATTTTAAAAATGAACATGACTATCGTCTGAAAACAACTAAAGAGAGGAAAGTTCAGAGCAATGAAAGAAGGAAATGATGAACAGTATGGAGTGAGTAGTGGCATTTGTTATATTAATCCTGAAACTGGAATTGCAGCTCAGCCATGTTTAATTCTTAGTTGGGCCAAAAATCAGAGACTAGGATTATATTAGTGTTTTCAATGGGATCCTCATCGTCATCTGCCTATCAGGCTGCATGTACGCCAGCCTATTTAAAACTAATGAAGATAGCAAACCCCTATTTTATCCATTAAGAGTATCTCCAAGAGGCTCTTTAAATATAAGATGATCTCTATTTTAAAGAGAACTTAAAATTATGCTTCAAGACTCTTTAAATTAATATTTTAAAAGAGCGAATAGGTTTGGCTTCAAACCCACATTCTATAATTAAATGCATTCCAAGTATTTCAATCTTCAATTGAGAAAAATAATATAATAATTGGGAGAGAAACTAGTAAAAATAAAAGATAGGAAAAAACAATAAATATTTTTTTTGAGTAGTAAAATTAAGCCCTTGTTTGGGCTCCATTTTAATGAGATTTTGGAAAAATATATTTTGGAACAGTAATTTTTTGAATAAAATGTGGTTAGAAAGTAAAGAAAAATTTTGGGTTTACGTATAATATTATTTTATTGAAAAATGTGTGGTTAAAAATAAAGAAAAAGAAAAATACATTAAATTAAAATGGAGCTCAAATAGGGACCGAGTGTTAAATATAAAGAGTTTGTTAGAGTACTTAAAATTGTTTACTCTCTAAATTTATAGGTGTTCTCTAAATTGTAAAATATGCCTTTAAAAATAGAGTCTCTTGAAAATGCTCTAATAGCTCCCAATATACATTGAGTAGAATGGAGAAAAAGGTTACAGCACCACAGCCAAATTATTGGAAAAGACTCGTGGATAAAATGTTACGGAACCACAACCAAATTATTTGGAAGAGGATCCATCAGATAGTTGTTGATCATCAGAGAAGAAGAAATCAAGCAAGGGAAAGGAAAAATATTTTCTTGCACATAGAACATTAGAGGAAAAGAAATCAACTACGGGAAAGGGAAAAAAATTTATGGCACAGAGAACACTTGTGACATGCTAAGTTAACCAAAAATAAAGTTTATAGAAGAAACGTCCGAACATATCAATTACTAACAACTGCATGAAACAAGATTAAGCAGCAAATAAACCGAACCTTGCTAAGCCCCACGTCAACAAGCGTCCCTATAGAACCTTGATCTTGATTTTTCAGTGTAATACCTGGAAAAAAAGAAAGATATCAAAAGTTTTAAGAAAATGTACAAGATCAAATAGCTCAGGTAAACCTACTTATTAGTAACTTCTTTAATAAAATGTACCAGTTCAATCAAGCTCGTGTGAAGCTACTAGTTAGTAATTTTTCATGTTAACATGATACAACCACTATGAAGTAAAATCCATACTAAATTCTCCATGAACATTCCTCTAAATAATCATTCACACACAATTAAAGTATATTGATTTTGAAAACATAAGGGGCAGATAGAACCATTCAGAAACATTTATACCTAACAAAAGACTTTGTCGACTTTCAAAAGAGAATTCCCTCTCATTGAGTAGATATTGTAATGCTATCAAAGTGAATAGACTCCAAGGTAGAGTGTAATTAAAGCTAGAGAAATGTCAATGCCATAAAGCTATGACCAAAACTCAGGAAAAAAATGAAGCTACAATTATATAAAATATAAGATAACTTTAAAGTATAAAATACAAATATGGACTAATTTTTTTTTGATAGGTCAAATATGGACTAATTTTAGAAGCAAAGTCAGAGGCATCAGCCAAAATATTGTCGACATGAAACTTACCTGAAGTTCCGAGATCAAGTGTAAACCATCATATGCCTAAACTTTGCTCTAACCATATAAATCAGCAATAAGCAGGCATGGTAAATTACTCTAGGTGCAAAGTCAGTGGTGTCAGTGACATGAAACTTGTTGAAGTTCAGTGATCAAGTGAAAACATCGTGTGCCAAACTCTGCACCCATCTTATAAATGCTACATAAATATACATAATTGAATATATATATATATATATATTCAAATAGTCAAAAGAAAACTTTACCTAAAGTTTAGTGATCAAGTGTAAGCTGTCAAGCAGGTTGTGCTTATTTCTTTATTTATTTTTTCTTAAAAAGTAACAATAAAAAGGAAAGGCCCAAGCCCGCCTTACGCCTCTAATATTTAAAGAATGCTTGTTCAGATAGTATTTTAGACGTGTAAGCCTAGAGGTGCAGTGAGAAGCATCAAAATGAACCAATAAAATAATTCAAGGAAACAAAGGTATTTAAATAACAAACATAGCCTTGTATAAACTATTAACCATTTTTGAAAACCCAGTATAAAACTATTAAACAAAATCAATGTACATGAATAACTACAAGTCTACAACGACAATAGGTTTGGGGTTCTACCTTCCCTGTATGAAGCCCATTCATGCTTACGCAAATGGTGTGGAGCATCAAGTGGGGGCAATAGACCCTGCAAAAAAACAAAAACAAAGAATAAATCGAGTATTAGCTCAGATATATTATTTTCATGCAGATCAGAAAACAAAAATCAGGTTCGCACCACAAATCTTAAACTGTTATGCTTAGGGAAAAGACCCTTCCTGAGATACTGAGGTGTCTCGAGATAACTCAAGATTCTGATAAGAAAAGCAGCACCAGTCTCACCCTCATCTGTATCGTTCTCCACCACATCAGTTGAATCATCCTCCGATGTACTCTTGTTGTCAAATACAACCACCTGTTTAAACAAGCACAAAAACCTACTGACGATTTCTTTGTAACATAAACAAATTCAACAACTAATTACATATCTGACATCCATACACGTGATATGACAGGCACCCACAGATAACTAAATTGCTTAAACCTCCATACACGTGATATGACAGGCACCCACAGATACCTAAATTGCTTAAACCATAACCATGACATGAATTGCATCTTATGAAGCCATTACACATTAAAGGCTAACCACCCATCTTCAAAGCTTCCTTTTTGTGAGTTTTATGAGCTGGTTGAAACTCGAGGATTAAGGGAGCTGAACTGTTCAAAGCACCTATGATAAATTTCTAACATTCTTTACTAAACTTCTGATATGCAACAACAAATTTTCCAAGCGAACCCAACTCACAAAAGTCCACCCTTAATAAGATTCATAAAAAAGAGTAACATATACTAATAAAGACTAGTCCATTTCACTAATAAACTCATGTTAAAAGAAGTAACTATAAAAAGGAACCTCATCAATTCGAAAAATAGTGGCAGCACGAGCAATCTGACCAGCTAACTGTTGGGGAAAAAAATGAACATTAGCAGAGATCAATGAATAAAGAACTTCAGCTAGAACCTAAAGACAAAAAAACATTGCAAGTTGTTATATGATAATTCAAAACAAGTAAATAACCCAGTTCAAAGTAAACAACTGAAAAACTCTAATTAATTAGTTTCAGTTTAAGTCTTCTCCTCGCATTCTCAAATTATGAAACACTAAACAATTTCTTCTATTGAAAAACTTGCACTTTGTTATCTCATATCTCAAACTAAATACAAATCTCATCACAAGAAACTTTAAAATAATGAATTCAAAGATTTAGTATTTTGCTTACATTGTCCAATTATCAAACACTTCACATACAGGAGGTCTCTTTTCTAGGAAAAACGACGCATTTAGTTTTCGACTGCAACAGAAAAACCAAAACCTTCGCATTATTTGATTCAAAGTTTCACACTTCTTCACGTACAGCCCAACCAACAAACAATACACTAATATATACAAACCAGAACCTTCCCATTTCTTAAAAAAAACAATTTTCACAGGTATGGGGCAAATAGAAAGTACCCGGGTGGCTAGTTCAAAGGACTGAGTGTTATCGATAATGGACCCAGGAACAGCAATGCTTACGGTGGGCATTTCATTTTGTAAAGATAAGGTGTCGTTTTTCCGTTCTCTCTCTTTTTCTCTGTGTTTCTTCTTCTTTTTTGACTGCTTCTCGTGAGATTCAGAATCGCCGTTTGTAATGGACACATCATTTTGTGCTCCTTTCTTGGTTTCTTCTTCAATTTCTCTACTTTTTTTCTTCGCCATTGTTCAATCTAATCTTTCGAGTTTCGAAATTGATAGTTTCTTTCTTTTTTTTCTTTTTTAGGGTTTTAGAGAAGGGCCATCAACAGTATTAAATACACTAGTAATTACTCCGTTTTTTGTAAAACTCTATGTTAGTCACTTAGTTTTATTTTGCTTTAAGTTAGTAGTTAAATTTAAATTTTATTCCAAGTTGGTCCATCTCTATATTTAACTAATTAGCCCATATTTGACCTTCATTACCTAAACTCATTTTATCAACAAATTCTTTCAATAAAATAATTTTGTACGTAAATTCAAAATTATTCCTCATTTTTTAACCACATATTCAAAAAAAAAATATTACTATTACAAAATCCATATTTCACAAAAAAATGGAACTCGAATAAAACCTTAAAAATGTGACATGACATATTTCACGAAGGTCTCTTGTAAGAAACTTAGTCGCTATTTGTATACAACTTATAAATTCAAGAGTCGTGCAACTTATACAAAGATGGGTTACAAAATTTGTTTACAAAATACGTGTTAGCAACATCTTGACCAATGATTTAAAAAACAATTTCTGAAATCAATGATTTAGATCTTATCATATCCTTTTGTCAACACACTTAAATCACATTTATACGAGTAGCATGACTATAAATTCAATTAACGTTGAACTTTATTTTTAGTCCCACATTCATAATTGCTACCCTAAACCCATCTGAAAATTCTCTGTGTCACCAAATCTACCCAAAAGCCTCAAATTGCGTTGATGTATCCTTGTCTGAGACCATGATTGGGACAGCGAATGATTAGCAATCATCTCATGGCATTGCTCAAGACCATAAATGGGCCTCATGCGCGAGGAATTTTGATCCAAATTCGTAGGACTTGTTTGTGCCCAATTAAATTGAAAAAATGTATTTTCAAATGGTAAATTGATGGAGAATATATGATTAAAAAATAAGTCCAAATTTTGAATTTACGTTTCATATTATTTTATAAAAAATGTGTGATTAAAAAGAAGAGAGAAAATGAGAATCTACCAAGGATCTAATAAATACACTAGTCCTGATACAGTTACACTCACTTTGATAGTTTTTTGACTGTGTGAGGTGGCACACAATTTTTACGTTAACTTCAACACACTTAAACTAATCAATGATACAGAGTTATACACCTCATAAACTGTCAACATTAACATACACTTTGAATGTACAAATAAAATGTTCTTAAATACACAGTCAATCAACATGTCCTACAAAGTACCTTGGATCCAACGAAAGATCCGATCCTCTACCAATATGGAACAAAGAACCAAATGTATTCTAATGCACAATAATTGAAAACAGACCCCGCGAATCGAGAAACTTATGAGTTAAGGTAAATGTTTACATGTCCTATTAACTATTATTCTACAAATTATTACCAAAATGGGAAATGCCTAGCATAAAGGCTAAACCTCGCCCTTCAACCTCTACCAGCTGCACTTCACCTATCCATCCGATTCTTTCACACTCAGTTAGAATTGCACAGTCAGCTCACACAAGGGGAGGACGTCCAGCATTGTTACACTTCCTTATTTTCAGGGATTGCATCAATTCTGTTATTCAGCCGGAAGAATTTGTTGTGTTTGTTTTTTTTTCTTTACTTCTAGAATATTCTTAGCTACTATCCATCTTGTATATAACACGGCTGTATTGTAATGAGATAATAAAAAAAGTTTTCAGCTTCATTTATATCTGTATTTTAACTTGGTATCAGAGCCAATATGGCTAACACCACTTCTGGGAATCAATCTGAGTTCAATACAGTCTCAGCAACGCAGTTGCCTACAAACTAGAATTTAACCTTTGGGATGAACATCACTCAATCACCCTCGGTTAAGCTTGATAGGAACAACTTCCTTTTGTGGAAGAATATGATTATGCCCATCATTAAAGGGCATAATCTTGAAGGATATCTAATGGGGACAAAGGAGTGTCCACCTGAATTTCTCACTACCCAAACAACAATCGGCCAGGGAGAAGCAGTAGAGATGACACAAAACTCAGAATTTCAGAAATGGAACTCAGCTGACCAGCTGCTTATGGGATGGTTATACTCATCCATGACTCCAGAAATTGCCATGAAAGTGATGGGATGCAACACCTCGAACAAACTGTGGGTAGCTGTAGAGGAAAGTTTTGGAATATTGAATAAATCACGTGTGATGTTCCTGACTGGTGAACTTCAGAGAATCAGGAAAGGATCCATGACAATGGATCAATATCTGACTGCCATCAAACAATTGGCTGATAACCTGGAGATAGCAGGTAAAATTATTGATCAAAATGATCTCATTTCACAAGTTTTATCAGGCCTTGATGAGGAATATACACCTATAGTTGTTCAGATAACCAGTAGAGAGAACATCTCCTGGCATGAACTTTCATCTATACTTATGACTTTTGAGAGTCGACTTGAACACCT